CATTTCTTCTTAGATTTTCAAGCATTACAACAACCATAGTAAAATGTGGGGTAACCAAATTATCAACTTCATCAAAGCTATGGTTCTAACTCTTATATTTATTTGAAATTTGTCAACTTATTACTTGTAGAACTATGTTAACAATTCATATAATGATTGCCCGAGTAAAATAATATTTTTCAACGTTGAATTAATAAAATCTTATTTAAAACTAATAATTGAAAAAGAAATCGAATAAATCATTTATATATATAAAAAAAATATTAGGTAATACTTTGCATTTAAAAATGTAAGAAAAATAAATTTTAAATAAATGCATGTGAAGTTTATTTAGATTTTAGGCCTCTAATTAAGATTCGCTTTAGGCCTCCGATTACGTTGAGCCGCCCCTGACACTACGCTTCATAATTTATGATATTGTATTACCCTATATTGTTTTGATAAATATGATATTTGGATATATTTATAAGAGGCAAAAAAAAATCATTAGACATGCATGATAATTTTTAATTGCAAAAAAAAAAGGCCACATATCAATAATTTGAAGAACAAATTTATAATGTTACACACAAAAAATACAGGATAAAGTTATAATTAGGAAAAAAAAAGATATGTAAAGAATAAAAGCATGATTACAAATATTAAGAGAAATTAAGGAAAATAAAGTATCAATGTGATCATACTGAGGGGTCATTTTGAATAATTATTTTAAAGTGGCTTATACGTTAAAAACCATAAATTAAAAATATCCAACACAAAATAATATTTTTATAATTACTTACTAATAGACTAAATAATATGATATTCATTATGTGTCATTTTATATCTCTTAGTTTAATTATACGCAAAGTTAAAAATAAAAAAATGTTACTATCTTAAACTAAAAGTATATGAAATGTATGTACTTAGATGTCTTTCGAATCCTATTACATTGAACATGACATGGGAATCATTGAAATGAAAAAATGTATTACATATAAAGTGTAATGTTCTCTTATATATACTAAAAAAGAAATAGATTGAATAGTTGATTTTTTAGTTAGTGAAATCGAAATTCTCTTGAAAAAACACACCTTAATGAAACTACATATAAATT